CCGCCCCGCGCCCAGGGCGCCCCTGGCGCGCCCTTACCTGCGGCGCGGCTGGACGGTCTGGCGGCGGCGCGAGTCTGGGAAGAAGCGCCCGCCGAGGCACTTATAGCTGCGGAAGGGGAGTGTCGCCAGGCAGGCCCTGGGCGGCGGGCAGGCGTTGGCCCTGCCCCGGATGACTTCCTGGGAGTCCGGGCTTCGAGGCTCGGCCACGTAGAAGCCAGGGGAGCGAGGGCTCCACGCGGGCCCTCCTCAGGGGATCAGCCTGTCTGAGTTCCAGGCAGACTCACATCTCTGCCTAGGACCTGATGGGCCGTTTCTTACTGAGACGTGAATGACTGAGATGACTTAATGTGTCACCTCTTAGAGGGCAAACTAGCCCCTTTTGAATCCCTTCTACACATATACTCCAAACTCTGGGGTTATTATTATTATTATTTTGGTGGAGGGAAGCAAATTTGAGACCTCTTACATAGGGGAAAGGAGGGGCTTCCAGGATAAAATAAAACAGAATGTGTTCCAAACAACATCCTTTCAGGTACCAAAGTGAATTCAGCCTGATACTCCCCTCACAGGTGATGACTACACCAGGCTGGGTCACCTCACTTGCCACACACCATGATAACTCACATCTGTGTGAATAAAGTATTTCTTACCCACTATACTAAAATTTAGTACAATAAAATAAATAAGATTTAGCCAGCCCTGATAGTCTATTGGTTAAGATTGGGCGCTCCCAGCACCACAGCCCAGGTTCCTTTCCCGGTCAGGGAGCCACACCACCGCCTGTCTGTTGTCGTACTGAGGGGGCTGTGTGTGGCTGTGATGCTGAAAGCCCTGCCACAGGTATTTCAAACACCAGCAGGGTCACCCCTGGTGGACAGGTTTCAGCAGAGCTTCCGAACCAAGACAGACTAGGACGGAGGACATGGCCACTCACTTCTGAAGGAAATTGGCCACAGAAACCCTGTGAATAGCAGTGGAGTATTGTCTGATAGAGCGCTGGAAGTGAGAGGATGGCGCAAAAAGACCAGGCAGGGTTCTGCTCTGCTGGACGCAGGGTCCCAATAGACTGGAAGGCCCTAACAGCAACAATATTAAAATTTAGACTCACCAATTTTTTCCCCCTGTAATGAGTGTTAAAATAGAATGACTATGGTGGAATAGTAAAGGCAGTAACTATTTCTGTGGGGTTTTTCATTTGTTAAATGCCTGGGCAAGTAATTTCACCAAAACGGATAGTGCTTGAGGGTATGAAATAATTCTGCATCCATGAAACTTATCTCCTGCTTTCTTGCAAATCTCAACATGAAATGGGGACAAAGGAAAAATTCTGTTGTTTTATTATTATGGATAATATAGTGTGAATGGGCTTGTAGATTTTTTTTTTGACTCTGAGAACTTGTTGATAATGAAAAGGGACAAAGAAGATCACAATAATGAGTAATCAGAATACCTCCGTAGTTTTCAAAAAGCAGCAAGAGTTTAATAACTAAGATTGCAGAGTGCTTTACAGTTTATTACAACAAAGAAGCCAACATTTATTGAGAGCCCATCATAACTAAGTTGAAGTGGTTTGGTCAAATCTGGTAACCTCTCCACCATTTCTCACAGAACTAGAGAACCACTCGTGAGCTTCTACTAACAGGTCAATGTGAGAAAGTCAAGAGTGAGGGGCTTCACTGAGAAGTTGATAAGTTAAAATCTGAGACACATAAACCAAAGAAAAAAGTGTTCTGAATTTGTTTTTCTCCTGACATTTTGCATTTATGCTCATCTGGGTCCAATATAAAATGAAACCATTTCCTAAATTAATACATATACTGTATAAGGTTCAGACAAAATTAACCTTTATACATTAATCATCAACCAGTGCATATACTGTCTAAGGTCGAGGCAAAGAAACTATTCTGTTCGGTAACATTGGAGTGTTCTACTTGTGGCTTTAAAATGTGAATGGCCACTGTCCAAGGTCATGCACTCATGATAGCACAGCCAGTTTGGTACAGTGTTGGGCGTATCTACTAAACTCGAACACACGCTTACCCTAACTACAGTCGAGCAATTTCATGCCCCAGGAATAAACCCAACAAAAATGTGTGTTGGCATGTGCACCTGGAAATATGTACAAGAATGTTCATAACAACATTATTTGTGTTAGATCCAACACAAATAATGCCCATCAACAGAAGAATGGATAAATTAATACAACAGAATAATATACAACACTGGAAATGAAAAAACTACAGCAATACACAACAACATGGCTGAATCTCACAAACACACTGTTGAATGAAAGAACGCAGACACAAAGTATAAGCTGTATGGTTCTGATTATAGAAAGTTCAAAAATAGGCAGAAATAATCCACGGTGTTTGAAGTCAGGAGATAGGTACTCTTTGGGGAGAAAGGGAAATTGTATTGACTATATTTTCTTATTTTCTGTATTCTTGATGCTCTGGCACTTGGGGCCTTGATCCTGTGAGACTGCCCCTCCCAGGGCTAGCTAATTCCTAGAGAGAGCGAATGACTCCCCTGTGAGCACACCGTTCATATACAAACCAACCAACTCAGTGACCACACTCTCAACTATCTTCTTTATCAAACTCTCGCACCCCAAGCCAATAGTCCTCCTGCCCTGAATCACCCCAGCACCAGGCACTAGACAACTAGAGACAACCTGTATAGCCCAGAGCCCACCAAAATTATTTAAACTATCCAATCCTAAGCTTACATAATGTACCTACCCTGCCTTGCCCATTTCTTTCTGCAAGAAAGTCTCTGGGCCAAGCTCTGCTCCTCTCCCCTTCTGCCTCCTGGCCAACCTGGGTGCTTCCTGGGTCCCACATTGCATGGTCTCTCGTGCCTCCTGTTTCTAGGGCTCTGTGAGTATAAACTTCTTCCTTCATGATGATTATTTCTACGTCAGCTCTCTTGCCATACCTGATTAGAACAAATCATTTTTTTTTTTAACACAAGGGTTGTGAGTGGGAGTGGCATGGGGGGAGAGGCTTCTGAAGTGCTGGTGATGTGCCATTTCTTGACATGGGTAGTTACAGAGGTGTATTCATTTTGTGATAATGCATTGAGTTGTACACATAATTTATTTACTTTTCCGCATGTATGTTATACTTTACAAAAATGATTAAAAAGTAGCAACAAAAAATGTTAAATATTAGTGATTCTTTTATTTCCTGTCTCCCCTCTTTGCCCCTCCCCAAACAGGATTAATCTGCTTGAAGCTAGTTGGGGCCCTTGGTGTCATCCAGCATGTCTACTCCCCTAATTTTGGTCACTGGCTTGTGCCTGGGGGACCCAGATGAGCTAGTGAGCCCCGTGCCCTTCCTGCTCCCCCACAAGCAGCAACACACGAATCCCGAATCCAGGTGAGCAGCCTTTCCCTTCTGCTCTCTCAGGTGGGGGACATCACTTGCTACTTCAAGGTATGGAATGAAGAAGATGCAGGACACATTTTCCAAAGATCCACGGCTAGATTCATAAACCCATGGTAAGGAGAAAATCTCAAAGCAGGACCTATAGGTGTTTGAGAACTAATTGTCTTGATGTTATTGTCCTCTAGGTTGATTGTCTTGTGGTTTTGAGAACAGGATCTCTGTATTATTTCAGTCTTCAGAAATGTTTTGAGACTTGCTTAATGGCCCAGAATATGGTCAATTTTTGTAAATATCCCCTGTTCCAGAAGAAAAGATATATCTTAAATCCATTAGGGGTAGTGTTCTATATACGGCCATTAGGATAAGTGCACTAATCATTTTATTCAGCTCTATACTTAGATTTACTAAGCATGTTTAGCAAGATAATGACTAAATATCAGTATTTCTATTGACTAGCAACAAACAGAAAATGAAATTAAAAGAAAGATACCACTTAAAATGGCATCAAAAAATCAAGTACCTAAAACTATATCTAACAAAACACGTGCAAAATCTCTATATAGAAAAAATTTTTTACATCATTAGGAGAAATTTTTAAAAATCTAAAAATGAAGAAATATATCATGTTCACTGAGTGGAATACTGGAATATTGTAAAGATAACTGCTTTTCTCTAATTGATTTTTTTATCAATCCGAATCCCAACAAATATTCCAAAGGAAGGATGTGTGTGTGTGTGTGTGTGTGTGTGTGTGTGCGCGCGCGCGTAACTAGGCAAGCTGATTTTAAAATTTGTGTGGTAATGCAAGTGGTCAAAACAGTCTTGAAGAACAAGGCAAGACAACATGTTCTGCTACACACCAAGCTTTCTAAAGCTGTCGTAATAAGGCAGCGTGGTGTGGGTGCGGGGACAGACGAGAGGTCGGTGAAACAGAGCGGAGAGTCCAGTGACAGGCCTGTGCATGCGCTGACCTTCCGTATATGACAGGAGTGGCAAGGCATCATGGGGTGACCACGGAATACTTAATAAGTGGCAGGGACAATTGAATATCTACTGTATATGCAAAAAATTAACGAAAGAAAGAGAGATAAAAGAAAAAGAATTTTTACCTCACACTATACCAAAAAATCGATTCCATGGATATTTAAGATCTATAAAAAGCAATGTGAAAAATAAAATTTAAATAAATTTTTAGAAGAAAATGTAGGAGAATTTTCCATGACTTCAGGGTAGGGAAGAAGTTTTTAAAGAAGATCAAAAAAGCATTTACTATAAAGGAAGTGATTAATAAACTTGACTATTTTAAAAATAAGAATTTTTGTTTATTACAAAGATATTGTTAAGAGTTAAAAAGACAAGCCACACAATTGAAAGAAAATTGAAAGGCATATAGTGGACAAACATTGTTATTTAGTGTATGTGTGTGGGTGTGAGGGGGTGTGTGTGCATGCACAAGCACGTGTGTATAACTTCTATAAATCACATTAAAAACAAATTAGAAAAATGGACAAACAATTTGAATAAACACTTTAAAACAGGAAATCCAGATGGCTTATAAATGAATAAAAGGGTGGTAAGTACAAATTTAAAACATGATGAGATACCTTATACTCACATTGGCAAAAATTAAAAATTCTGACAATTCCGAGTATTGGCTAGGATGTAGAGCCACTGGAATTCTCTCACTCCTGGAGAGGATTATAAACTGGTAAAACTACTTTGGAAAATAGTTCAATGTTATTTAACAAT